CTCCGTGCGTCGGCGTGCCCCCCGCCGGCCTTCCTCCCAACGGTGCGCGCTTTGGCCTCGCCTCCCTCCCAAGTGTCGCCTACGCGGCCCGTCAGCCTTCGACTCTGCAGGGTGGTTCGCGCGCTCCGGTTCTCGGTCCGCGCGTCGGCCTCCCGCCCTCCCCTGCTTTTCCCAGCATACGCGCGCCTGTTTTCCTACGGGTCCGCGGGTCGGCCTCCGACCCCCCCTTCCTGACGCTTTTGCCCGCGCCTCTTCTTTTTCCTACGGGTCCGCGCGTCGACCTCCGACCTTCCCCCGCTGCTGGCGCTTTTGCCCACGGGCTCGCGTCGTTTCGCCTCCAGTTCCACTGCCCGCTGCCCTGTTCCCGCCTCGCCCTCATCCCCGCGCTGGTTCCACTGCCCTGTTGGCAATTCTACACAACATATTTTTTTTTCAGATTTTTTTGGAGTTTTATTTATTTATTTATTTGCGCAGGGGCTTCCCGGGCCCGTGCCCGGGGGTCATGCCCGGCCGGTCACCCGGTCACCAAACCGGGTGTGACATCGGGGCCAGGGCGCCCGGGACATCTCCCTAGGGTTTAAGTGATTGCTTTTTAAAAAAAATAAAAGTAAGTTGTTTAAATTTTTTTGGAATGTTTTTTTCTAGGCTAGCCTGTTTTTCCAGGCTCCAACACCCAACTTGTGCCTGGATACATGACGAGTTGTCCGGGCGGACATGAACCCCGTTCCGGGCAGCCCCGGTGCCAAAAACAAGATAGAAAGAAGAAAAAAAGCTCGAAAAAGAAAATTGTGTAGAATACTAGAATTGCAATGCAAAGTTGCAAACGACTTTTGGCTGAGGGCCACATCAGAATTCCTCATGGAATCGAAGATAAAAAAAGAAAACAACAGAATCAGACTAAGGCACCCTTCTTTAGGCCCCTTTAGCCCCTTAAAAACCAATTCATACCCCCCCTTCACCCCCCGTGACAGCCAATACTCGAGAAAAGGAAGAAGCCTCCTTTGCCCATGCTCAGAAAACCTCCACCCAAAAAAAAAAAAAAATGATAAATAAAAAGTTAAAAACGTTTGATCAACCCCGTGCAGGGTGACTTGCCTGGGTTGCACTGCTGGACGAGGCAAGCAGCCTAGGTTCTAGGACATACAAACAAACAGTGACACGTGTCTGCATTTCCTTGTGCAGGTCCTTGTCTGACATTGGAAGCTTACGTTGAAGAGATTTTCCGAAAGGAAGCGAATTGTGCTGCGACGGAATCTCAGATGCGATCCAGCGAACCTGGTCCATCATGGGGAACGGATTCAGGACCAAAGCATCATCAGTTGCAGAGAAGACCAGGAGATGTACATATACTGGAATGGGATCCCAATGAAACTGATGGACGTCCTGATCTGTCGAAAGTAGGGCGGGCTGGAAAATCAGCTGCTGTATGCGCACATTCGTCGAATCTTTTAGCAGCAGGTGATTGTCCAGCTGGACAATCAACTGCAGTTGATGGACGTCCACGTTCATCGAAAGCAGTGCCAGATGGACAATCGAAAGCAATGCCAAGTGGACAAGCGGCTGCTGCTGATGTATGTCCAGGTTCATCGAAAGCAGTACCAGCTGGACAATCAGCTGCGGCTGATGGATGTCCAGGTTCATGGAAAGCAGTGCCAAGACAATCGAAAGCAATGCCAGCTGGAAAATCAACTGCTGCTGATGGAAGCTGGGGAGGATATGACAGGAGCAGCCGCCATGCCGACGTGGATGATGTGATATGCACGGAGGTTAGTGGTAGTCAGCTGTTGTCATCCACATTTCCTTTTTTTCTTGCTTAAAAAGTTGGATCATTTTCCATGCAATCCTTGCGCCATGCTACCGTCTTCCCCTGAGCACAACACACCCTCATCGTGAATATGTCCTTGCTATATTTCTGGTAAGATAAACTCTTGATGAGGGTGCTTTTTGAGGAGGGAAAGCAGAAGGACCCAACTCTCCTTTTATCAATTTAAGTGTCCTTTTTTTTTCTGAATTGAAAATGCTGAGCACGGGGGATCTGTCAGGAGACGCAATACCAATTTGATTAACTCGAAGCTAATTATGCCATTTGAAGAAGCCGCATCTGCACAGATGCAGACAAAGGTACGCACATGGGCTCACACGGAGGAATTCACAGACACACGGATGACCAATCGCACACACATGAACACACACGCATGTGAGGTCAATAGCGGGAATGGCAAGCAAAAGCAGGGGGGCGAGGAGAGAGAGAGAGAGAGAGAGAGAGAGAGAGAGAGAGAGAGAGAGAGAGAGAGAGAGAGTTTTGTTTAGGGTTTGGTTATCCTATCGCCTTGCTTTTCCTTTTGCGACATATGAGGCTTCTGCTTGTCACCTCTGTCCTGTAACATGAGCAGTTCATCAAGGTATTGCGGGCCGATTTGTGGATGTCATCCACTTCGTAGGAAGGTACCAACGGACATAGTTCGGTAAAGACCGGACATACAGTCCCAGTACCGCGTGTATCCTGTTGCAGAGAGAGAGATGCGAGAGGTTGGGAGGAAGAGACGGACAGACTCAACCCAGGGTAGGCGTACACTCACACACACACACACACACACACGCACACACACACACACACACACACACACACACACACACACACACACACACA